GACCCTGGCTTTTGGAAAATCATTAGGGGATGGGGGGGTGATAAGGAAGGATGGGTCACCCTTAAGAGTGTTGAAAATGGACAAAAAAGTGGAATGCGTGAGTGAGTGGGGTGAGGGAGTGATAAGGGAGGTGTTGAATTTCATAAACCCAATGATTGATTGCTTAGCTGGGCAAGCTATGAGGGTGAACAACTAGGGGAACTAGCCTATGAAGCTAGTTAAGCTGAGGCTTGTTCTACCTAATACCATTCTAATAAGTCAGGGATGAGACAGAAGTTAACCTGCTGACCTGCATTCTCTCTTTTTGAGGAGAACTGGGGGAGCTGGTTTACGATTTTTATGATGAGACCAACTCGGCACAGGTGATGTAGCAAAATAAGATGTGAGCTCAGGTGTGTTATGTCGTCCTCAAGGGATTGGGATTTATGGCACGTAATACGCAATCACAATAAACTAGGCACTAGCATAAGGAAATCAACAAGAAGCTAAGCAAACTATACGTTTAAGGAAATTATAAGACTAACACATATACACAAAGATAAACACAAAATAAAGATATAGGACTCAAGCTAGGGAGCATTATCATCTAGATGCTTTAACAACCTAAGGGATTAGGGAGAACAAGTAACCAAGAAATCAAGTGGGAATGCACGTAGGTATCCTAGTCTACGAACCATTCTCATGATTAATAAACAAGGATTAGAACAAGAAATTGCCCCACTTTCGTGGTGAATCAATTCCAAGTCCATCAAGCACACATAGCATCTAAAGCCCCCAATTTCCCCTATTTTCGTAGGAAGAAATCGGGTCTATGCAAGGGGTGACTTGGATTCATCACCCAACTCTCGTTGAGGCAAGGAATCCTCCAAAAACAAGCTAATGAATGTGTACATCAAACATTAACAAGATATAAATACAAAACATTCACAAACACATGAACCCTAGGTTGGAGTTCTTCCCCTTTTTTGTAATAATCACAAATCAAGCATCAAGATAGAAAATACAACCCTTACTCAAGTCCATAAACTATCAACTCATGATTAAATAGCATAAAGAACACAAAAACATGAGTGTAAAGCATAAACATTGCAAGATAAAGAGATAAAAGGGAGAGGAAGCTTCTCTATTGAAAATGGATGGTGGAATCTTGAAATGTTGGAATCCAAGCATCAAATCCAAGATTACAAGCTTCAAAAGTGTTAAGAAACATAAATCTAAGTCTATTCTAACCTAAAAATATGAAGGAGAATGAAAGAGAGTGTCTAGGGTTCTAACAAGAGTCAAAACCAAGTAGAAATGACACAAAATCGGAGTTTATAAAATTGCAGAGCACAGTGACACGGCCAGGGACATGGCTATGTCCCTGGCCGTGTCCAAAATGGCAGTAGCTACTGGAATGCACATAAAATACACGGCCATAGACACGGCCGTGCACTTGGACGTATCTTTTGGCCTTCAAAACGTCAGAATTTGGAACTCTGGTCTTTATGAAAATTGTAGCCCTTCGAGTCGTCTTTCCAATGGAGCACGAATCACTTCATTTGGACATTCGTAGGCCGATATATGGTCCAAAACCCAAACAGTGGTCAGTTTTGGATTGTAAGTTTGGAACTTCAACTTCAAGGACAATTTTGACCCCTGTAGCTTCCTTTTTAGGCTTTTATATATTCATAATAATTGTATCCCTTTGAGTCTTCTTTCCAATGGAACAAAAATCAATTAATTTGGATACTTCTAGACCGAGATATGGCCCGAAAACAGAACAGTGCCCAATCCATGCGAGAATTTCAGTTTGTTGACACTTGTTCCACTTTTGCCTTGGTTTAATTTGTTCATATGATCAACACCATTGAAAACATCACTCTTTGACTCCTTTGGAAGTGTTGCATCCATCTCCTTAGCTTCACCTTGGCTCCCCTTGACTCCAAATGCATCCAACATGATCTAAAATCCTTCATTTTTACTCAAAGATAATGAATTGTGCATAATGGATCAAATGAGCAAAATAAAGATTATTTTGAATAACATTGTGACACTTCATAAGCAAAACAAGGTTAAATATGGGGTAAACATGGGGTATAAATATGAACAATTATGCACTTATCAACAGGCCTCTCAATTCATGTTAACCCTAGTGAAAGACTGCTGGCCTGGGCAGCCTTGAGGGTTAGACAGGTCTGAGGGAATTGGTCGATGAAGCTATGTGTGCTGAGATCAGTTCTGCTCAGTAGAAGTTTTGGGGGTGATTATATACCCAGTGATGGACTGATAGCTGGGCAGTCCTGAGGGATACAGCCTGAGGTAGGAACTGACAGCAGAGATGAAGCTGGTGGGCTGATCTGCTGGGCAGCTTTTGTTTGGTGGATCTACTTGTGTAGAAATGAAGCCAATACAAAAGGTGGTGCAAATACAAAAGTGTTATTTGCACCACCTCATAAAATATAGCCAAACATTAATATTTACTATTTATTTTTATTTAATAATCAAATTATTAATTAAAAAAAAATTCTCCGGTGAGAAGGCAGCCCAGTGGGTTGTTCTCACCGGAGAAGACATGTCCTTCGTTTTTTTTTTTTAATGTTTTTTCCTTTTTTAATATTTTAGTTAATTAATGTTTTAATGAGATTTGGCTAAGGTGGTGCAAATAGCAATTTGAACAACACTTTAGCTATTTACACCACCTATATAATCATTAAAACTTTTTAACTTTTTACATTTTCAAGATATTTTATACCCCATTTTGACTAAAGAGTGGTGCAAATAGCAACACCCAATCATTAAAGTCACTAATAAAACAAACGAATTCAGTCGATGACGTGATTGTTGATTGCACCATGATTTGCTAAAAATATACAATGGTTGATAGCTGATACTTTATAAGGTTAGTTGGTTTGACCAGCTGATACTATTAGTTGTTTGTAAAAATAATATTTGGTAAATTAACTGATTACTTTTAGTTAATTATCTATAAAATGACCTATAAAGGCATAAATACATTGTGCTAATTTATTAACTCTTAAATTACTTTTTACAATTTTAATTACTTAATTAAATATTTATCTATTATTATTATTATTATTATTATTATTATTATTATTATTATGAATGAAATAAAATAAAAAGAAAAACATTATTATTGTTGTTGTGGAAACAAAAACAAAAAAAATAAAAAAAATAAAAAAATAAAAAGACAAGGCAAACAACAAGAAATATATAAATAGTAGTGACGACAATGGTAAAATGGTCATTTCGTAATTAAGGCCAACCAAGTAACCCAAAACTCTATTCTTCTTAGCTTTTCAGTTTTTAACTTATTGCCCAATAAGCTAATGTAACAAGTTATTTTATCAAAAGTGGCTTATTAACCTGTCAAACCAGTCAAAATTGGTTTATCATGTTACCAAACAAGGCCACAATAAATAATCTCTCTTTACCTTAGAGCAACCTTATCAGTGGTTATTTGTGGGGAGCATGTCAAATTAAATCTCCTTGCTCAAGATCAAAACTAATGTAGGGAAGATTTAGTTGTGAAAGAATTCCTCTGCTAATGTTAAAAATAATGCCAGGAAGACAAAATGGAGAAGGAAAGGTGATGTGCGCGTTTTGCGCACAGCACCTGCCCATACGGGCGCGTGCAATGCACGCTCAGGCGCGCCTGACACTGTACTTTCATATTATTTTTTTTTTACAAAATCAATTTTAGTTTTTTTTTTCTTTTTTTTTTTCTCTCCCCTCCCATCTTCTCTTTCCTAATCACTCTTACATTCTCTCCCAATTCTCCCCAACCATTGTGGATGCTCTTAGAGGAATCATATATGTTTGGCAATTTTTCATGATTTTTTATGAGTCAACAAGGAGAGAGAAGCAACAAAGAGAAGAAGGAAAAAAAAAAAAAAAAGTCAAAAGACCTTGTGTTCAAGCGGCATGAGACAAATTATATCGTGGACCGCGGTCCATAATGAGTTATGGACCGAGCTTCTAAATGACGTCGTTTTGTTTAATGAAAAGAAACGGCACTCGTTTCACACTGTTCCGCAAAAAGTAACTCTGTTATTAAGTTTCATTTTGTATACACTACGATTTCCTTTCAACACAACTACAGTTTCGTTTTGATATAATTACAGTTTCATTCGATATTTATACACTCAAATATGTGAAAATGTTATTTCATTTTATTTTATATACACTATAGTTTCATTAAAACACAACTACATTATCATTTCGATATAACTACAGGTTCATTGCACAATACACACTCAAATATGTGAAATGTTATTCAGATCAGTTTCATTTTATATTCACGCAGTTTCATTTCAATACAACTACATTTTCATTTCAATTCAATTGCAGTTTCATTTGATAATATAAAAATAATACGTGAGGCAGTGTCAGTTTAGATACACTGTAGTTTCAGTTGGTAATTAATACACCAAACATGCGCGCTCCGTTAACTGTAACGGCGCGCTGTTTCTTTAATTAAAGAAACAACGCCGTTTTTGGACCGCGGTCCACAGTATAATTGTTGGCGGCATGAAGTGACTCTCCCAAATGGGAGGTTATGATTTCGAGTCTCAGTAGGGACGTTAATGACTCTCCAGTCTTCAGATTAGGTTGCGCTAAAGAAAGTAACCCAAAAACTTTTCCTTAATGTTTTGGTCTCCAAAAACTCCATAAAATCTACAAGTGTGAATGCTCTTATGGCATATGAGATCTTGGATTGAACATGGAAGACTAGAGTTTTTGTTAACACTACTCTTCTGAACAAGCTCAAAAATATAAAAATAAAAACAATATAAACGCAGCTGAAAAATGTGATAAACATTTATAGCAAAATACACAAAATAGAAATATAGAATAATGTCCATGATTATTTTATGAGGGATTTGCCATAAACCAGATAACCTTAAATGCATATATATGGAATACAGTATAATTTATTGGTTGAAAAGATTTATGGCTAAATTAGAAATGGAGAAGCCGGCATCCACAACAAGATTGTGGCCACTCACATACTTGGACTCATCACTTGCAAGATAAAGAACAGCCTCTGCAACATCCTCTGCCATCAAATCCACACCTTTAAGGCTTGAATACACCTCAAATTTGTCATCCTCTGACAACCCAAAATACTCCCTTGCCATCTGTACGTGTAGGAACTGCAGAAGGCGAAACACAGTTGACTCGGATGCCGTATCGGCCCAGGTCGAGGGCAGTGTTCTTAGTCAGGCCAACAATGGCGTCGAGCACGTATAAGCATGTGGAAAACCCCCATAACACCAGCAACACTAGCTGTGTTTATTATGCTCCCCCTTTGCATGGGTTTCATCACACGAGCAGCGTGTTTCGTTCCCAGAAATGCACCGAGGGTGTTAACACGAAACACATTGACAAAATCAGTGGCATCGCAATCAAGAATGCCGGATACCTTGGCTCCCAAGATGCCTGCATTGTTCACCATTATGTCAAGCCTTCCATGGGTGGAGACTGCTTTGTTCACTGCGTTTTCGACGTCTGACTCTCTTGTCACATCACAGTGAACAAAGAAAGAGTTGCCACCACCTAAATCTTTGCAGATAGATTGGCTTTCATCATCTCTGGTGTCGGCTATTACTACTTTGGCACCATGTTGAGAGAATAGCTGTGCGATCCTACATCCGATGCCACCAATACCACCAGTAATTATTGCTACTTTTCCTTCCAACCTATATATATATATATATATATATATATATATATATATATATATATATATATGAGCCTACAAGTTATGAAATATGATGAACTAGTATGGAAATTACCCAAAAATGGAATAGATCGAATTATGCATATATACCTCTTAGCAGAAGTAGAAACGACCCAACTGCTCACCATTTTTCTTTAATCTCTTAGCTTGAGATGATATGATGACCAATACTTCCTCCCTTCAATACTCCCTTAATTTCTAAAAGTCAAAGAACTACATGTAAATCTCCCAATACAGACACACTTACAGTTGGTTACATTCCTGCCTTTATTGCTTTCATCTGTCAACTAGGAGGATAGCTACTACACAAAAGCAAGTAATAACGTCCACATATTTTCTTATAATTATTGTGGCATCAGTAAGAAAATATTAAAAACGGACCTATCATATGTAGATTAAAAAAAAAAAGTAAGCAAAAAATCTTCCATTGTTGACACCACGATTTGCTAAAAGTAGTAATGACTAATTTTTTTTTTGAAAAATAGTAATGACTAATTTAATCTCTATTTGTTTTATTTATATCATGTGATTTGTTGAGATTAACAAGAACAAGAAACAATAATAATGACAGAAATGGTAAAGAAAGCAAGATTTATGTGGTTCGGCAATGTGACTACGTCCACGGAAATGAAACTATTCTTTTATTATATATAGTGATGGTGATATTAGTGACACAACCCCAGAGATACAACCAATATATTTATAGGCATCTAATCCCTATACAATGAGTCTACCCGTTTTACTCATATTCCGAGTATGAGACAAACTCATATTCCTAATCCCTATATGAGACAAACTCAACAATCTCCACCTTGGCGAATATGCTCTTTAGGAGACATATTTCTAATATGAGACAAACTCATATTCCTAATCCCTATATGAGACAAACTCAACAATCTCCACCTTGGCGAATATGCTCTTTAGGAGAAGATAACTCAACAATCTCCACCTTGGCGAATATGCTCTTTAGCAGAAAAGATAACTCAACAAATCTCTACCTTGGCGAATATGCTCTTTAGGAAAAAAGACTTATATCACCATTTCCACCTTCACAAATATGCTCTTTTAGGAGAAAAGACTTATCTCACCATTTCCACCTTTACAAATATGTCATTTAGGAGAAAAACTTATCTCACATATACATACGGGTAGGAACAACCATGCTCACCCCAACTAGCCAGCCACATGCATCACGCAGCATCAAACGTTTCTTAGTGCATGTACACGGATTGCTTTGTCCCAAGCTATTCACCCTCAGCCGTCGACCTGTTATACTCGCAGCGACTCATGCTAATTGTCTTGTTCAGCTGACCTCCTGCATCCGGCTCATACCAGGTCCATGTCCCCTCCTAATATCCACGCTACCCCAACACAACAGCGCCCCTGCAAAGTCACACTAAACCCGTGTGCCTTGCCTAATGCTCCACTAACCAGTAATTGTCACTGGTCAGCAACATGCACCACGCAGCATCAAACGTTTTCCAGTGCATGTTCACGAACCGCTTCGTCTCGATCAGTCTGCTCATACCAGCCGTGACTCATACCAAGCTCGGCCCATACCAATCATGACTCATGCCAAGTCCAGCTTATACAGTCGTGACTAATGCCAAGTCCGACTTATACCAGCCGTGATTAATGCCAAGCCCAACCCATACCAACCGTGACTCATACCAAAGCCGACCCATACCAGTCGTGACTCATACCAAGCCCAGTCCATACCAGGTCCACGACCCCTCCTGGTATCGCGCTGCCCAACACTACAGCACCCCTTGGAACTTTGGTCTGTTGAAGATGAGTGATTGATGTGGCATTTTGTACTCAAGAGTTGAGATGTTTTTTCAATTTAGTCATTTTGGATAGCTATTTTTTGAGGAATTATTTCACAACCTATAAATTGAGCTACGGTATATTTTCCCTTTTGTTAATGGGTCTAATGTTGTCTTGATTACTTCCCTCATTCTTCAAGCATGCTTCATTGCAGATGAAAGAACTTAATGGGTCACTTCCTTCTGAAGTGGGGATAAGGGGATGTTGCCTTTGAATCTGAGCATCCACCAAACCAAATCAGAGGTAACTACATACTTGATGCGCACACACACACATAAGTATTTATTTTGTGGAATATATACCAATGTTTTCCCAATTATTCTTAGCCTAATGGAGCTGCCGAATCAGTGGAGTTGAATAGTCCAAAGGAGTACAATAGAACTCATTCAAAGCGAAAGCTTCGGGTAGGTCATATATGTAGAGAGCTTCTAAAACATCACGTTAGATATAATAATAGAACCACTCATACTAATGTATCTTATTATTGTGTGTTTACAACCCTCATCTCACACCCTTGTTTTCCTTTGCTACCTTTATCAGCATGCTTGGTTACTGTATATACTGACATTAGCTTAAAACCCTAGCAGGATGACCAAGTGGGTGTATAAAGCATGGAAATGTTGAAAATAAGAGCAGCTCCGGGAAGTTGAAACAGAAAGGTGTCTTCAGTTCTTTAGCAGCAAAACATGAAAACTCTAAGAAACGTCTATGACCAGTGAATGGGTATAATTTGCTTTATGCATTTGTGATTTTTCATTGTTAAGTGTTAATCTGAGTACTTTCTAGTGCAAAAGAGAAGTCAATTATAATATTTACATTAACTGGTAATCTTTATATGAATGTTATATTCAACAGACAACTTGCAACCTTAGAAGATTTTGATGATGATGCCATGGACATAGAAGGAGGTGTTCATGGGGTGGCAAATGGTAATGCCCATTCGCCACGTCCAAATAAACTATCTAAGCTTGTGACTCAAGTAAATAAATACAAGGTGTGGTTGTATTCTCTCATTTTTAGACTCATTTATATCTATCATACATTAGCTTAGCTTGCAAGTGTAAATTTAATCATTATCATGGAAATATAGCAATTGTATATCTTTGATTACACAGTCCTCACATTTATTATATGTCTAAGTAGCTTTTTTTTTTTTGAAAACCAAAAGACGAGATAATATTAAATCAAAGTTTGAATACAAGTAGGAATAATAGACAACCAAACAGAATGATCAGTTTGTGATTGAGCAGCCCGGGCAAGAGCATGGGCAGCCTTATTGACTGATCGGGGAACAAATATGAAGGACACTATTTCAAAGTGTCTTTTGTAATTTCTTATCTCATTGATAGATCCTCTCGTGGTTGATTAATCGAGTTGCAAACCATCTGGCAATCTGAACACACCATAATTCTTACATATTGTTTATCCTTTGCCCAAGATAAAGCTTCCTTCACAGCCATAGCTTCTGCAAGATGATCATTTTTCATGCAGCGAAAACTTCCATTTTTGGCAGCAACAAAAACTCCATTGAATCTAAGAACACCATGCCAAAATAGCCAACATCAGAATCATTGAACACAGTTGCATCCACGTATATTTTTAGTACACCTTGTGGACAACTTGGTTGCAAAATTAAAGGAGGAGTAATGCTCTGTATATTGTTGGTTGAAGTTACTAATACCTGCCACTCATAATAGAAAAGGCTAGCCTCCATTTTAATAGACATGGGCAGCCACGGTTTAGAATTCCACACCACCTCATTACGTCCTCTCCAAATGCACCAACACTTAGCCAGAACTTGCAGCACAGTGTCTGTATTTCCATTCGTAACCAACCCTGCCATCCAAGATGTAAATTTATTCACACCATTAGCAAACGGGAACCCAGCAAAATCAGACCAAACTGCAGCAACACAACTACACTCACAGAAGATGTGCTGAATAGTCTCTGGAGTTTGATGACACAGTGGGCAATTAACATCCTGCGTTACCCACCTCGAGTACAGGGCTACCATCATTGGCACTACTCCATGCATGCATCTCCAAACAAAGTTAAGAATATTTGGTGGAATCTTGAGTGACCAAAGTTTCCGCCAAAAACTTATGTTAGAATTTCCTTACGTCGATGGGTAACCAGACAACAGACGATATCCGTGCTTCACCGAATAGCAGCCACGGATATCCCCTCTCCAACTCCAGGCATCTTCAAAGTTCCTAGAGATTGGAACCTGTAGAATCAAGTTTACATCTCTCGTCTCAAACAATAAATTCAGCCGTCCAATATCCCAACTGTCATATTGTGGCTCGAAAAGATCACTTACATGCATGTATTCATCTGCATTATTTCTCGGAGAAAGGATGAAGGGATTTGCATCGTTTGGCAACCATGGATCCCTTCCACACACTCGTAGTTCGACCGTTACTGATTCGTCGAAAACAACATTGCAGTAGCATATTCTGTCCAGCAATTATTGACCGCCAAGTGAAACTTGGGTTTGCTCCTATTTTCGCCTCCAAAAAACCAAAATTAGGGAAATAGCGGGATTTGAGCACCCGGGACGCTAGAGAAGAAGGGTTAGAAAGGATTCTCCACCCTTGATTTGCAAGCAACGCAACATTAAACTTGTGAAGGCACTTGAAACCCAATTCACCAAAACTTTTCGGACCACTCATCTTCTCCCAAGCCATCCATCGTATACCTCCGCTCTATTGCCATTAGAAAGACACCAAATCTTGTTCATTAAACGTTCAAGGCGTTCACAAAAAGTGACGGGAAGGTAGTAAATACTCATCGTGTACGTTGGCAGTGCCTGGGCGACACTCTTCAAAAGAATTTCCTTGCCGGCTCTGGATAGGATTTTTTTGCACCATCCTCCTAGTCGCTGCCTCAGCTTGTCTTCTAAATAAGAGAACACTTGTCGTTTATTTCTCCCGACTCCCATTGGCAAGCCAAGATAGCGTCCAATGTTTTCAGTTTGTTGAACATTAAAAACGGCCGCTACCTCGTCTCTCATAGAATGAATGGTGTTTCTACTGAAAACTAGGCATGACTTATTGAAGATCACACATTGCCCTAACATGCGCTCGTAGGTTACTAAACAAGATTTGACGGTTTCAGCTTCAGCAATTGTAGCCTTAAAAAATAAAAGGCTATCATCGGTAAAAAATAGATGCGAGACACCGGGGGCCCCCTTGCTACTTACAGGATAAGATAGCACCACGAGAGACCGCACTAGTCAGCAGATGTGACAAGGCTTCCGCACATAAGATGAATAGATAAGGGGACAACAGATCACCTTGTCTTAGGCCACATTGTTATAATAATAACAATATTATTATTATTATTATTATTAGTAATTGTTAAACCAAGTATTAAATTAGTTTGTTATGAATTATGCATGGTGTCACTACATGGATTGTGGCCTTAATTGTAGCTTTACATGGAGCATTACTCCTAATCTTTAGCTTTATTAGTGGTTATCCTTTAGTATAAATAGGTTACTATTGTTCATTCATTAATCATCAATTGAATCACTTATCTATTCCTCTCTCTTTCTCTCTTCTCAATATATATAAATATAATATATAGATATATTATATTTAATATATATTATAGATATATTATATTATATTTAATATATATATATTGTATTAAATATATTATATTTAATATATCTTACATTTGGTATCAGAGCCAGTCAACCTTTCAACCCCGAGATATTTCCCGTAGTGAAATATGGCTGCAAATTTCAATATTGTATGGTCGGGACCCAAATTGGACGGGAAACTCGATTACAATTATTGACAAATTATGATGTCCACACATTTGAAATCTCGAAATCTTTGGAGCTTTGTTGATCCCGGTCTACCGATGGAGCTGATGCAACCCAAACTCGACGAGATCAGTTGGCTTTGGGTCAGATTCACCAAGGTGTTCATTATTCCATTTTTGGGCAATTAGCTCGTGCTCAAACAGCAAAACAAGCTTGGGACATCTTAAAGGTGTCAAACAAAGGAGTCGATCGTGCACAGAAGTCCAAGTTGCAGTCGTTGAGAAGGTTTTACGATAATTGTGAGATGACCTCTACAGAAACAGTAGATGTGTATTTCACTCGTCTTATTGATATGGTGAATAAGATGAGGTTATACGGAGATACAATTGAAGATGGTGCAGTGGTTGAAAAAGTTCTTCGAACTATGCCGATGAAGTATGACCATGTGGTGGCTTTGATCACAGAGTCACACAAAACTGAGCTCTTATCAATTGCAGAGCTGAAAGGTACGGTAGAAAGTCATATTTACAGAATTGCGTCAAAATCGGAACCACTAGCTGAAGAAGCTTTGAAGAGTCAAGTCACCCTTAATGTAACTCCAACCAAGGAAGAGGTGGAGGTAATATCAAACAAGGTAAATTTCCATTTCATTGCTACAATTGTGGCAAGTATGGGCACAAGATTGCAGATTGCTGGTATAATGAGGACAATCGTGGAAATCAAGCAAACATTGCTGAAAACACTACTGAAAAGTCTGGTGAGAATTCTGAAACCTTACTTTTGGCCAGCAATAGTTTTTCTGCAGATAAGAACATATGGTTCTTGGATACTGGGTGTAGTAACCATATGTGTGGGAAGAAAGAATTGTTTTCTGAACTGGATGAATCAGTCCGGTCTGAAGTGACATTTGGCAATAAGTCAAAAGTGCCAATTTTGGGAAAAGGTAAAATCTCTATTCAGTTGAAGGATGGTACTCACAATTTTATATCCGATGTGTTCTATGTTCATGAACTACACCAAAATTTGTTGAGTATGGGTCAGTTGTCAGAAAAAGGATATAATACATATTGCTCAGGGGTGTTGTACCATTGCAGATGCTAAAGGAGTTTTGATTGCAAAGGTAAATATGTCCCAAAATCGACTATTTCCTTTGAAAATTAAGCATACTCTCCTTGCTTGCTTTAATTCTGAAGATTGCGATGATAATTGGTTATGGCATATGCGGTTTGAGCATTTTCATTTCTCTGGATTAAACTATCTTGCGAGAAAGGAACTTGTTTCTGATTTACCTGTTGTGAATGTCCCTAATCGTATCTGTGAGATTTGTGTGATTGGGAAGAAGCATAGAGATCCCTTTCCCGTGGGCAAGTCAAGGAGAGCCACAAAACAGTTGGAGATTATGCACTCAGACCTGTGTTCGTTGGAGGTTCCCTCACATGGAGGTTGTAAGTACTTTATTACTTTCATTGATGATTTTAGTAGGAAAACATGGGTTTACTTTCTGAAGCAAAAGTCTGAAGCATGTGATGTTTTCAAACAATTTAAGGCTTTTGTTGAAAAACAAAGTGGTTATGAAATTAAAATCTTGAGAACTGATAGAGGTACAGAACTGATAGAGACAAATTAAAATTGTTTGTGATGATTTTCTGAAGAAGAAGGGTATTCAGCATCAAATGACAGCTAGATACACTCCACAACAAAACGGAGTGGCTGAGAGGAAGAATAGGTCTATCATGGATATGGTACGGTGTATGTTGAAATCCAGGAATCTGCCTAAGCCTTTTTGGCCAAAAGCTGTTGCTTGTGCTGTCTATGTGTTGAATAGGTGTCCAACTAAAAGTGTCCGTGATAAGACACCCGAAGAAGCTTGGAGTGGAAAAAAACCCTCTATCAAATATCTCAAGGTTTTTGGATGTTTGGCATATGCACATGTGCCAGATCCGTTGAGAAAGAAGTTGGATGATAAAGGTGAGAAGTGCATATTCATTGGTTATAGTGACGCTTTAAAGGCTTATAAACTATACAATCCTGAAACTAAAAAGGTTGTTATAAGTCGGGATGTCACTTTTGATGAATATGGTGCCTGGGATTGGTTAGCTAAAGATGAAAGTTCAGTTGTTATTCCTGTTGTTGAAAATATTGTTGATGAGCAACCGATTCCAGATAATGTCCAGTCTCCTTCACAGCCAGAGTCGTCAGTTCGACGATCTCAGTGCGAGCGCCACTTACCGGCTCGCTTGAAGGATTATATGTTGGGTCATGATAATGACCTGTCTGATGAAGAGATTGTTCAATTTGCTCTCTTTGCAGATTGTGATCCTTTATCTTTTGAGGAGGCTGCTACAGAAACTCATTGGCTTAAGGCGATGGATGAGGAGATACATGCCATTGAAAAGAATGGTACCTGGGAGTTAACAGATTTACCTCCAGGAAAGAAGCCAATTGGAGTGAAGTGGGTTTACAGAACGAAGTACAAGTCAGATGGAGAAATTGACCGTTTTAAGGCACGGTTAGTAGCAAAAGGTTACAAGCAGAAACCAGGTATTGATTATTTTGAGGTTTTTGCTCCAGTAAGTAGACTTGATACAGTTCGAATGGTTATTTCTCTTGCTGCTCAAAATAATTGGAAATTGCATCAAATTGATGTCAATTCTGCTTTTTTGAATGGTTTTCTTGAAGAAGAAATATATGTTGAGCAACCTGCAGGATTTCTGAAGAAAGGGGAGGAAAATAAAGTGTACAGGTTGAGAAAAACCTTATATGGCTTAAAGCAAGCGCCTAAGGCATGGTATGGTTGCATTGACTCATATTTTGTTAAAAGTGGTTTTATGAGATGTCCTCATGAGCACACTTTGTATATCAAATGCACGGATTCTGGTGATATTGTGATAATTTGTCTGTATGTTGATGATCTGGTTTTTACTGGAAACAACTTGAAGCTAATCTCAGAATTCAGGGAGGCACTCATTAAGAGGTTTGAAATGACTGATATGGGCCTTATGGCTTACTTTCTTGGCCTTAAGGTTATTCAGATGGATGGTGGAATCTTTATTTCACAGAAGAAGTATGCTGCTGATATTTTGAAAAAGTTCAAAATGGAAAACTCCAAACCAGTTTCAACGCCGTTAGCTGAAAAGTTAAAGGTGTCCAAAGATGAGTGTGGTAAGAATGTGAATGTTACAGCTTATAAAAGTTTAATTGGAAGTCTGAGGTATCTGGTGGCAACAAAGCCAGATATTTCC